CATCAAGAAACTCCAAATGGTGAGGGAGAAATCAAGAATTGAAGATTTGTAACCAAGGAAAAAGAAAATTCTAGAAGGAGAGGGAGAGGGAAAGAGTTACGGGAGAGGAAGAGAAAAATGAGAGGCCTAATTGGCCTCTTAGCCTTTAAATTAGGTGGTGGGTCCCTCCACCAAAAAAAAACATTTTTAATTCCCTTTTTATTTCTTTTTCCTTTTTACACCACACAATTATATATACATATTTAATAATTCACAACTTCATGTAACACATTAAATAAAATGGATGGAATGCAAATGGACCCAACTAAAATTCCCGTAAGCAACAATTCCAGTAGCGGGTCACACACGGGACCGTCCGGCCCAAAAAATGAAAGATGGCAAAAAATGGAAACATTACACTTACACCTAACAGGTTTGGCACCAGAAGGCAAGGGAACAAGTTCCCAAGTCCTATTATGATGAAGGGCATCCATTTCATCTTCCATTGCCTTTCTCCAACCTGGATCAGAGAGAGCATCCTGCACAGTCTTAGGAACATGGGTGGCAGACAACTAGGATGAAAAACTTGAAAAAGATGGAAATAGGGAAATATATGAGACATAGTTACTAATGGGATGATGGGTAACACAAGTCCCGGTGCCTTTACGTAGAACAATAGGTAAAGAGTCTAACGCAGCAAGCGAAGTCGGATCCAAAGACTTTGAAGAAGATGGAGGAGGCATGGTAGGCATCTTGGGTCTCCGAGTGTAAACCTGTAATGGAGCAATAGGTTGGAGAGGACCGGAACTAGGAGACAATGAGGGAAGAGGTGGCAAAGATGGCTCATGAGTAATATCAAGAGGAGAACTACAATCAGAGTAATACGGGTTAGACTCATAAAAAGAGACATCAACACTAGTAAAATACCGCCGAAGGGTAGGATTGTAGCAACGATAACCCTTCTAAGTATGAGAATACCCAAGAAACATACACTTAGTTGCACGAGGATCAAGCTTATCAAAACCTGGCCGAAGGTTATGGACATAGTAAACACACCTAAATACCCGAGGAGTCAGAGGAAACATAGTTGAATCAGGAAATAAAATAGAATGGGGGGATTTCCCTTGCAACACAGAGGATGGCATGCGGTTAATAAGATGACAAGAGGTAAGAACCGCATCACTCCAAAACCGTTTAGGGACGTGCATATGGAATAAGAGAGCATGAGTCACTTCTAAGAGATAAAAATTTTTACGCTCAGCCACACCATTTTGTTATGGAGTACAAGTACATGATGTTTGATGAATAATGCCTTTAGTGAGAAAATAAGTATCAAAAGGATCAGAGGAATATTCTTTGGCATTGTCAGAATGCAAAACTTTAATGGAACATCCAAACTGAGTTTTTATTTCTTATGAAAATTTTTAAATATTGAGAATAACTCGGAACGATCTTTCATTAAAAACAACCAAGTCATATGAGAATGATCATCCACAAATGTCACAAAATAACGAAATCCATTAATAGGAATATGTTTTATTGGGCAAACATCGGAATGAATTAACTGAAAAGGACTACACACATGGTTAGTAACTCGAGATTTAAAAGAGACACGATGATGCTTACTAAGCTGACAAACTTCACAAGACATAGACAAAACACGACTAAGACTAGGGACTTGATTCTGCAAAACAGGTAGTGACAGGTGTCCAAGACGGCAATGCCACTGAAATGGAGATAAAGAGGTTTGAAGAGCTTTGGGATGATGCTCAAAATCGAAGTAATACAATCCACCAACTTCATGCCCCGTACCAATCTTCTTCTTTTGACTTGAGATCCTGAAAAACACAACAAGTGGGATAAAAGGTGACTGAACAATGAAGATTTTTAGTAATTTTACTAATAGACATCAAACTAAAAGGAAATTTTGGAACATATAAAACTGAAGAAAGAGACATTGAAGAACTAAGATTAGTTGTTCCTAAACTTGAAACCTTAGTTGATGAACCATTAACAAGAGTGACACTTTGAGAAGCAATAGAATGAAAATTAGATAAAAGATGAGAACTACTAGTCATATGATCGGAAGCTGCAGAGTCAATAATCTAGGGACTGTGACGGGAAGATAGCAGACACGCAGACGTACTACCTGATTGGGCGAAGGAAGCCATGGAAGATGAGGTGGTTGCTCGTTGCTAAGACATAAGTTGTGCATACTCATCCGGGGGATGGTGATCATGTCAGATTCAGCAACCTGATGAGGACCAATAGTTGCAACAGATGCACTAGAACCATCCTCTTTAGAGGACACTTGATTGGCATAGGCTAATGATTTCGGTTTCTCATGAAGATCCCAACAAAAATTCAGTGTGATTGGTGAGACCACAGTGACTACATCGTCATGATTCTTTACCACGTCCACGTCCCCCTCTAGAGTCACGGCCACCACTAGTAGAACAACCTCCACGAGAGCTATTGAGTCCACCTTGGGAGACAATTAATGCTGAACGTTCACTACCACCATCAGTTTGTACACTGAAAATGCCACTAGAAAGAGTAGCCCGCTGGAGTCGGGAAAAGAGAGCATATTCAAATCTATTTTACAAGATTTGCATGTTTGTTCAATTGTGGTCTTTGGTTATCCTAATGTTACAATAGTTTGATTTTACAATTTAAGGGAATATGACTTGATAAAGTGTGTACTTTTAGTTCTGGCCCTTCTAGCACGAGGCCTTTGTGATGATCCCTCATTGCATTGCTTTAAAATGAGTTGAAACGAACATATATACAAGAATTTTGGTGTTCTGTTCTGAGTTTCTAGTTAGTTCTCTTGTCAAGACCACTTGGATTGATAAGCTGATGGACGTGCATATTTTATCTCATTCTGCACATTGCCATTTTGTCAATGATTTAATATTCAATTATAAATTTGGTGTGCTTTTAAGAGGAAAACAGATTATTAACAGGTTGATATTTCCTTTTTTTTTTTTTCCTTTTTTCTTTTTTCTTTTTCTTGTTCCACATTTGATCTTGGAACAGAGCAATATGGGGTTGGGATGATTCATACATCTATATTGGCAATATGAAAAGAGGAGTTGATGTTATCTCTGCACCTCACAGAGATATTGTTGCTACTTTAGAGAGTCCAGACGTGACTGCAATTCAATGCCGCTTTGATGCTCATCCTTACAAGGTTGGTATGCTTGCAGGGGCCACATGTCAGGGTCACGTTTATGTGTGGAGTTCATGCTAAGAAAATAGCTTCTTTCTGCACCAGAGTGTTTGCATCTGATCAAATTAAACGGCTGAGCCACAATCACTACATCATGTTGTATCGTCTTTGGTTGGTTTCATATAAATTTTGTTCAGTGACAGGAACTTCTGTGGTTGGTTGAACAATTATAGGATGCTTAGGTTCTTTGGTGCTATCAAGTTTAAATGTACACTTACCATTTTATGATTGCAACTGATCCATCAGATGATATCATACAAGAAACAATTTTACATTTGATGTGGGATGGATAAGTTAAATGTAGGATGTCGTTCATAAGTAAGAACCACAAGTGACACACGTGGATAAGGAGCACAGCTGACTTGCAATATTAGTAAGTGTTCAATAAGTATTGGAAAAGTTCAGGCTGAATTTGGTGTTAATTGCTTCATAAAGATTATTTTTTTCAACTGTAAGTCGCTTGGAAATGTTTAACTAGAAACATTTTGGACTATATATTGCACAAAAGCTTAGTAATAAGTTCGGTTCACTTAATTTTCGTTTTTTCTTTTCAATTAAACTATGGCTGAGCAAGTTATTAAATTAAGAAGTCAACTCGAAAGTCAGGTTGCAGGTATCCCACTACTTTCAAGGGACAAGCAAGAACACTAAAATTGATTTGTTAATATTAGCACGGATACGCAATTCAAACTTCTTCTTTTTTTCATAACTTTTGCAGATATCTTATTTAAAAAAAAATTGAACTAAGTTTACATATTCATTATTTGACCCAACTTTCAAAAATTTCTAGCACCAACTTTATTTCTAATGAGGCTAGCTTCTTTTTATTTTTTTAACCTTTGCAAAAAATTTCAAACATCATATATATATATATATATATATTTTTGACCCTGGCAACAAATTTCAAACATCCTTTTGTCCCAAGAGTTGAACTTTTCCATCCACTTTTTTTAAAAAAATAAATAAATAAAAGAGATTACTTGAATTTCTAATTTTTGGCAAGATATTACTTGTTTATCCTTTTATTTTTTATTTTTTATTATCATCCAAATGGAGACCAAGGCTCGGTTAGCTATGGGCCACACTATACATTGATTCATCTCCACGCTCCATATAATTTTGGACCGCACAAAGGGTCAATGGGGATATAAATGAAAGTGTATGCAGTACTAATTAATAATTTAAATTTTTGAATAAGTGAGTAAGTGCCCACCTATTATAATTAGTATCAAAGTCAGACTCAATCCTTAATCTGATGTTACGCCAAGCGCCTAACTTAGAGGCGTGAAAAAAAAAAAATGAACCCACTCAAAAAAAAATTATTATTAATTTTTTACTATAGTCAATTTTAATTTAGCCAATATATATATATATATATATATATAATATATATATATAGTATTAACCAACCAAAAAAACATATCAGTCCATTGTATTGATAATTTTTGGATCCGTCCTTGCGTCCGGGTGAACCCACCAGGATAAACGAGGTGGCCCAATCGTAACGAGGGTGAGTTCGGGTGGAGAGAATGTTACAAGGAATACTTATTCTACCTCGAATCCGAATGGAAAGTGAAAGGAATATAAATGGATTGGTATATAACATTACCCAATAACTAAAACTTTTAGGTAAATGGATAAGTACCACCTGTTATACCAACTCATTGCAATTTACCAAATATTCATGGCTAGGATCATGCCACGTAGCTTCCCACACTTCGTTCCCGCCAATTTCCTTTCCCGCAGTATATCTATATGATATACACATAAAAGCCACTACATACAATAAACACCTGTCTGTCTCTCCCTCTGCAACTGTGTCTGTGTCTTTCCGATGGCGCCTCAAAAACTTACCGAATACGAGCGTCAAAGACTGGAGAATATCAAGCGTAATGGGGAAATGCTCGCTTCTTTCAAGATCCATTCCAAAGTCAATGAACTCTCCGCTGCAACAAAGCGCCAAAGGTCTCTCTATATTCCACACACACCCCCTTCCTAATGAAAATCGATTTGCATAATATATATGTTTTTTATGTGTCTTAATCGACTAATTTCTTGTACCTATATGGCAGAGTACAAAACAAATCTTACAAAGTTAGCCCTGCGAAGAAACCGAAAACTGAAACCCCAATTGTGATTCGGAGGTCCCTCCGGACCCGAGGGATGCCGCCAGATTCATCAACTGCAGGTGGCCTCAAGGACGACTTTGATTTCAAAGAAACCCCAAACAAAACCCTAAAATCACAAACTACACCAAAGAAGTCGTCTCGTGAATTGGGTCCTCTTAGTATGAAAGATGCGTATAGGGGTACCACCTCTGATCGAACGCTCATCGAAACAATTTTGGGTGTATCGAAGAAGTCGCAATTATGTTACGGTGATAATTTAGTAAAAGGTATTGATGAGGGTTCTAGGGATTGGATTATGGGATTGCCTGAAAATGAGAAATTAGGTTACCCAATTAGAGTAAGTAGTTCTATTGATCTGGAGTCACTGGAATTAGAAGAGGAGAGTATAGCACGGGTTGTGCCTGGGCGAATATTCTCTGTTCGGTTCTTTCCGTCAGCGGATATGAAAATGGTTGTTGTGGGGAACAAGTTTGGGGATGTTGGACTTTGGAATGTTGATTCTAGTGAGGAGGATGGAGATGGGATTTATCTGTACAGTCCACATTCCGGACCAGTTTCAGGGATTGCAATTCAGCCGTTTTCACTGTCAAAGGTACTATTTTTGCATTTCTGCTTGGAAGTTAGAGTTTAAGTCTACAACTTGCTTGAGTAATTTTGAAATTGAAAATCTTATGCTTTTGACTTTGGCTGCCCTAAAATATTTTAGCTTGAACTTTGGATTTGTGACATATTACATGTATACAAATTATCAACAGCTATTATTCCTAATAAGTGAAATTTTTATAGTTTTTGATATTTTTCAGCGATCCATATACTTCACCGGACCTTGAACTGCCATAAAATATTTAATTTGGAATTATTCGATTTCTTGCTATAGAAAATAGGAAATCAGAAAAGGATTTAAGAACCAAGGAATCTTGCTGATATGGGGGACTGAACTTCCCCAAGCCATGTGATGCTTTAATGTAGGTAATATCACTTGTTAAGTTGTTATACCTAAATAATTGCCTTCATGTCTCATTTGTTAATGTTCTGACGTCACATGTAGACTTCCAGGATGCTGTACTACAACAAAATTTTATAAATTTGGAATTAACATTCAAGTCGAAAATGTCTAAAAACCCAAAAGATATCACTCCTTGTGCATGAAAATTTTCCTTTATGCCTCATTTTGCTGGTGTTATCATTTCACCTGCACAAATTGGGAAAATGGGTTCTTAGATTTTATAAGTTCCTTGCCTCCTAGTCTTTCATTTCTTTATGTGTGAATTTGCATTACATAAAATCCTCGAGGGAGGACAGTGAAAATATCGAAGGAAGAAAACCATAATACATATAGGAGCAACCAAACTCATTATTCTGTGGTTTGTGGTTGCTGTTGGGTTTTTGACTTGTTTGGTTCTTTTCATCTCTGTCATGCGCTCTTTCTTGGAGGTTGCTAGGTTGCCCCGCTTGTTCCAAGGTGGATATGCTAGATCTGCAAATCCGTATAGAGGACCATCGATTTTCTTAGATGATGACTGGGTAGGAAGGACAAGAGAAGACCTTCGGTCGTGTCTGGTGGGGAAATTTGATAAGGAAGTGGGTGATGGAGCTCAAATTGCAGCTTGGGCTTTGCGTGCTTGGAAGGTTTCCTTTGGTGTGACAGTATCGCCTCTGCCGGATTCTTTGTTTCTTTTTCGGTTTCCCTCTTTGACGGAAGCATCTCGAGTGCTCAAGGAGGGTCGCCGTGACTGGGGGACGGCAACTCTTAGTGTGGATGCTTGGAGTTTTAGGGTGGGGTGTTTGGAGGTGTTAAAAGAGAAGGGGCTGAAGAAGGTGACGTTGTACAGTCTCCCTCTCCACCTTTGGAGTTATACTCTGTTCGTGACAGTCGGCGATCTTTGTGGTGGGTTTATTTGGGTGGATGCTGATGAAGCTTTGGACGCGGAAAGAGTCCGAATCACCATTTTAGATGGTAAGGTTTGCCCTCCTTTTGTGTTCATTCATGATGACCAGTTCTGTTATAAGGTGGCTATTTGGGAGGAAAAGCATCCCGAGCTTGTTCCGACGACAGATAGCTTGGAAGGAGGTGATGGTTCGCACTTGCTTAAGGAGAAAGAATGGCTGAGGTGGGAATCCATGGGGAAAAAAAGAATGGTAGAATTCCAGGTATGGAAGGAATGGAGAGATGCGTTATGGATACGTAATACGGAGTGCTTTAGAAGGATTTTCACTTAGAAACGCAAGGAAGGGCTTCCTTCCTTGCCGAATCGCTGTCGGAAAGAAGGGTTCCGGAAGATGCAGTGGGGTGGAGGTCTCACCGGAAATGGTTGTCGGTCTTTTTTGTAGCATTGGGAACAGAGAAGACAATGGTTTCCACGCACAACAGGCACGTGGGTGGGGGAGAAATGCAGACCATACACGTGGTTGGCGCTCAGGCTTTACCCATTCCCAATGAGAATAGCTATACCCACTGTTATTTCAAATTCGGCTCCCCACTCTTTGTCTCATTCTTGGGTTAGGAAGACTCCAAAGCCCACATGCGTTATTGGCCTGATGTTGGGCCAGGAAATGGGGCTTTAGTTTCTTGTGACGATTTGCCTTTTTCTGATGGGCCGCTTGAAGGGCCTCCAAGTTTTAAAAGGTGGGTTTCTGGATCTTTGGGTTTGGATAGTGGTGTGCAAATTTCTTGTGATGTGGATGGTGGGCCAAACACCCAATCCTCTAAAGATGTTTCTGTTGGTGGGCCTTTTGGGTTGAAGAGTGGGCCAAATTGTGATTCATCATGTTCTAGGTTGGGTTTGAAGAACAGTTTTGAGCCTTTGTCTTCCTTGATGGATGGCAGAGATTCTTGTGCTGCTGGTTTGTTGAGAGCGAGATTTAAGGATGATCGGCGAGTGAAGGATCCGGTGCAGCGACATCGTTTGCCTAAGAAAAAGATTATCCTTCCCGCTCTTCGCAAAAGGTGGACACGAAAGGATAAGTAGAAATGGGTGGCATCCTTGCAACCGGGTATCGGTATGGGTATGTTCTTAGTTCCCTCTGAAGCTTCTCCTCCTCAGCCGTTCTTTTCTTCTCCTTCTTTTTTTTTTTGGGGGAGAGGGGAGAGTCCTTGGAGATGGGTGGGACAGCCACTGTTTCTAATTCCTTGGCACCGATTGTTGAAAGGGACGGAGATGGGTGGGACAGCCACTGTTTCTAATTCCTTGGCGCCGATTGTTGAAAGGGACTCGGACTTTGATGGGAGGCATGGTGGTGGTCCTGGGAATAGGTTTGGTTTCTCTCGGCGAAGTGAGGGTAACTGTGAGGGGGTTACAGTATGTGTTGGTTGGGATGTGAAGGTAAAGCTCGATGATGAAACGGCCTCTGTTCTGTTGAAGGAGGTATGGGACCATTTGGCTTTGAAAGGTTTTTTTTGTGATTCAGGGGGTGTGTTGACTGACGAGGAGCCTGTTACGCAGTTTTGCTCGCATTCCTCTTCTGTTCTTGATGATTGGGAGGGAGCTGCAAGTTCTTCCTTTGATGGGGATTCGGGCATGATTCCATGGGAAGACTTGGAACAGGCAGTGAATTTGGCTGTCCCTTTGGCTGTTGTTCAGCCCCCCCCGGGGGGGGGGGGGGGGGGGGTTGGGGAATTGGGGTAGAGACTTGATTGATGTTGTTATAATGAATGACCTTGAGGAGGAGTGGGTAAGGGAAAAGGGTTTGTATGTGGGCTCTTTGTTGGGTGTTTCTTTCGAGGGTAGTGTGGATGAGGCGATGTGTTTGTTTAATGATGTTCTCAATTCTCATTTAAAGGAAAAGGTGGGTGGTAAGGAAAGGTTATAGGAGGGGAGACCGGGAGAGGGGAGATGGTGTTGCAAAGTCCCAATGATTTTATCACGTATGAAAGGAGAAATAGGGGGTCCAGGTCAAGAGAGAGAGGTAGTGGAAGGAGGGGAGGGTTTGCTTCTTCAGGTGTTTCCCTATGAAGCTACAAATTCTTTCATGGAATGTCTGGGGTCTCAATGACCCGGTTAGAAGAAAATTGGTGAAGTCGGTCATTCGTGGGTGGGGGGGGGGGGGGGGGGGGGGGGTGGTCATGTGGTGTGTCTACAAGAGACCAAGCTTGCTTCGATGTCTGATAGGATTGTGAGAAGTCTTTGGGGTGGGAGATTTGTGGAGTGGATTGCTTTGGATGCTAATGGTTCCTCGGGGGGCATTTGGATCATGTGGGATAACAGATGGGTGTCTAAAGTGGATGCTCAGGTTGGGCGCTTCTCTGTTTCATGCGTTCTTGCTTTGGTGGAGAATAATGTTCATTGGGTCTTTTCTGGTGTTTATCGTCCTATGGGGGACGGTGAGCGCCACTTGCTTTGGGAGGAGTTGGGGGAGATTAGAAGTAGATGGTTTTTGCCTTGGTGTGTTGGAGGGGATTTCAATGTTGTTCGCTCTCCGTTCGAGAGGTCAACGAGAGGTAGGTGGACGTCTGACATGGAGGCTTTCTCAGAGTTTATTGATGGGTTTAGGCTTGTCGATTTGCCTTTGGTTGGAGGGTCGTTTACTTGGTCTAGTGGCCGCTCTCCCCCTACTCTTTCTCGGCTTGACAGATTCTTTATGTCGGGGGGAGTGGGAGGAGAGGTTCTCTGATGTTGTTCAGGCTACTTTGGCTCGTCCCATCCTGACCATGTTCCGTTGATGTTGGATTGTGGCGGGTTTCGTAGTAGACGTTCTCTGTTCAGATTCGAAAATATGTGGCTGTAGGCTGAGGGTTTTCTGGAGAGGGTCTGTCTTTGGTGGGAGGGTACTGTGTGGTTGGCACCCCTAGTCATGTGCTTGCAGGCAGTTTGCGTCTCTTAAAGGAGAATCTTAAGACTTGGACTAAAGAGGTGTTCAGGAATCTGGAATGGAGAAAGAATTGGGTTCTTGCTGAGATTGCTGCTTTTGACCTAATGGAGGGTCAAGGGGATTTGGTGGACTCTTTAAAGGTTAGGAGGGCAGAGTTTGCTGAGATTGCAATCATGGAGGAGATCTCGTGGAGACAAAAATCTAGAGCTTTGTGGCTTAAAGAGGGGGATAAAAACACAAAAAAATTTCATAGATTGGCCAATGCCTATAGAAGTGGCAATCATATAGGGAGGATTCGGGTTGAGGGGGATATTTTTTGTAAGGAGGTGGAGATCTGCAAGGGCTTTTCAGAGTTTTTTGAGAAGTTGTTCACAGAGACTGTTGTGTGGAGACCTTTGCTTAAAGAGCTTCAGTTTGATTCTATTTCTAGTGAGGAGTGCTTGGGTTTGGAGTTGCCTTTTTTTTTAGGAGGAAGTTCTGATTGCTCTGAAGAGTTGCAATGGGGATAAAGCTCCAAGTCCAGATGGATTTACCATGAGATTTCTTCTAGAGTGTTGGGAGGTGGTTAAAGGGGAGGTGATTGGCACTTTTCATGCCTTCCATACTCGGGGATCTTTTGAGAAAAGCTTGAATGCCATGTTCGTTACTCTCATTCCGAAAATGGGGGGGGGGGGGGGGGGAGATTTTCGCCCTATTAGTTTGGTGGGGTGTATCTACAAGTTGATTGCCAAGGTGCTTGCTTCAAGTGTTGACGAAAGTTTTGGATGGCGTCATTTCGGACTTTCAAAATGCTTTTGTCGGAGACCGTCAGATTTTGGATTCAGTCCTTATTGCAAGTGAGTGTGTGGATTCCAGGTTGCGTAATGGGGTCCCGAGAGTTCTTTGTAAGTTGGACATTGAGAAGGCGTATGACCATGTGAGTTGGAGCTTCCTTCTTTAGAGGATGGGGTTCGGTGATAGGTGGAGGAGATGGATGCACTTTTGTATTTCCAGTGCTCGCTTTTCGATTCTAGTGAATGGAGCTCCTACGGGCTTTTTCTTTAGCTCGAGGGGCTTGAGACAGGGGGATCCTCTCTCCCCCTTCTTGTTTCTGTTTGTGATGGAGGCCCTTAGTAGATTGATGAGAAGGGCTGTCGAGTTGGGTTTTTTGAGAGGCTTTCGGGTGGGCAGGGATGTTGCTTCCCAGTTGGAGATCTCTCATTTGATGTTTGTTGATGGCACTTTAGTTCTTTGTGATGTGAATGTGTCCTAGATTAGATATTTGAGATGTGTTTTGATTTGGTTCCAAGTTGTCTTCGGCCTTAAGGTGAATGTCGGAAAGAGTGTTTTGGTGCCGGTGGGGGAGGTCCCTGAGATTGAGGCTTTTGCTGACATTCTTGGTTGCCGTACTGGTTCCTTTCTCATTTCTTACATAGGTTTGCCTCTGGGAGCTCCTTCGAGATGTGTGGGGGTTTGGGACCAGTGGTGGATAGGTTTGAGAGGAGGTTGGCTGGATGGGAGAAGTAGTATCTATCCAAGGGAGGCAGGGTCACTCTAATTAAGAGCACTCTCTCATGCCTTCCCACTTATTTTCTCTCTCTTTTTCAGATTGCCTCTTCAGTTACGGAGATGATTGAGAGGTTGCAGCATAATTTTTTGTTTGGGTGGGGGGGGGGGGGGGTGGGTAGAGGTGAAGAGTTTAAGTTTCATTTGGTGCGCTGGGAGCAGGTTGCAGGTTTGCAGGCTAATTCGAAATGGTGGGTTGGGTCTCCGTAGATTGGTGCCTTTTAATAAGGCCCTCCTTGGGAAATGGTTGTGGAGGTTTGGTGTGGAGAGACACTGGCTTTGGAGGAGGGTAGTGGCTTGTCGATTTGGGGAGATGAGAGGAGGGTGGAGTTTTCTGGAAATGAGGGGTTCCCGGGGGGTGGGGGTTTGGAATTTTATTCGGAAGGGATGGGATGACTTTTCTAAACACATTCGGTTTCGACTCAGGGATGGGAGGAGGATTTGTTTTTGGGAGGATGTTTGGTGTGGCGATGTTCCTCTCGCTCTCGCTTTTCCTCAGCTTTACAGGATTGCTTCGGATAGGCAGGCCATGGTGGTCAACTGTTATCACCTTGATAGTGGGAGACTGGTTTGGGATGTTCGATTCAAGCGTTTGCTTCAGGATTGGGAGATCGAGGAGGCCATTCGTTTCTTGGAGAAGTTGTATCGCCAGAGGATTGTGGTGGAGGATTCGGATTGTTGGTCTTGGGTTGCAAACTCTCAGGGGCGTTTTTTGAGGTGAGGTCTTTTCAGATGCCTCTTGATTGATCCTGGAGTTCGCTTTCCTTGGAAGTCTGTTTGGCGCTCTAAGGCTCCTCTTAAGGTGGCTTTCTTTGTGTGGACCTTGGTTCTGGGTAGGATCTTAACCTGGGATAACTTGAGGAGGAGAAACCAGGTGGTGGTCAATCATTGTTATATGTGTCTTCGTGATGAGGAAATAGTGGATCACCTTCTTATTCATTGCACTATGGCTAGAGAGTGCTGGGATTTGATGATTGGCTTATTTGGGTTTTTTTGGGTTATGCCTGGATCCGGTAGAGGGTTGATCGAGGCGTGGAGAGGTTGCCCTGTGGGGGCTCACATTCAGGATGCGTGGAGGGCTACGCCGCTATGTGTGTGGTGGTGTATTTGGCTTGAAAGGAATAGGAGATATTTTGAGGGGAAGGCGATGTCGATTTTGGTGCTTAAATTCTCGATTTTTTCCACTCTTTTTTGTTGGGTTTCAGGGAGAGATCATAGATCTTTAGAGGAGATTGTTGATTTTTTGGCCTCCTTGAAGGCTTAGAAGCCCTTTGTGGCCTTTTGTATTTCTCTTGAGTTCCGCTCTCCTTTTGAGCGATTCTTTAAAATTTTATTTATCAAAATATATATATATATATATATATATATATAATAAAAAAAATAAGTTTTGCGAATCTACTCATCAGTGGGCGTTCTTATGACCAAATGTCAGTGACCCATTTGAAATTTATTTTTTGGACTTATATGGAAATAATATCTTAACCCATTCAAAAGCCCACCCAACCCATTCTATCCAAGAATGAAAAAGAAAAACGGAAGAAGAAGAGTTCTATTATTCATTGCAAATAAGGTTAGATACTGGATCAGTGATATATCAAACATTTACATATGGGGCCATCATTCTGTATATATGTCCATTTTATATATTCATTTCATTTAGAAGTCACTAGATTTGGCTCTATTTTATTTTTTTATTTTAATATCCTCTGCATTAACTATAAAGGCAGTACATAACTTCAATTGGCTTCTGCATTCCTGTACATCTTTTCTGACAATTACTCAGTACACAGTTCGAGTATATTACTGTTATTAGTTATGGTGGACTGGCTTTCTTATATGTGCTTAGTCATTCTTGGGAATGTGTTTGCAGATGTTTACCTCATGCTATGATGGATTTATTCGATTGATGGATGTTGAGAAGGAGAAATTTGATCTGCTATATTCCTGTGATAATGCCATATTTTCTATTTCTCACCAGCCAAATGATGTGAATTCCTTATATTTTAGTGAGGGTCATGGGGGACTTGGTATTTGGGATGCAAGGGCAGGAAAATCTTTAACCTTATGGAATTTGCATGAAAAAAAGATCAACACAACAGATTTTAACCCAGAAAACACTAACATTATGGCTACAAGTTCTTCCGATGGGACAGCCTGTATTTGGGACTTGAGAAATATTGATGCAGATAAGCCAAAACCTTTGAAGACAATTGGCCATAAAAGGTCTGTGCAGTCTGCTTACTTTTCACCTTCTGGGAGCAGTCTTGCAACAACAAGGTGTGTAATGCTATATGTATCACATCGTTGAATTGTAGAAGCTTATTGAACATTGAGGGAAAAAGAATGCATGCTGAAATACCAGTTCTTTGTACATCCAAAATAAACCCAAACTTGGTAATACTTCTTTAAGATGATAGACTAGACGCTCGAGGAATTTGCTTGGAGTGAAACTAAAGAATGATTCCACTAGAATTCCACTAGTTGTTCACCTTGAAAGTTTTTGTATTGCAAGTATATTATCAGAAAATCTGAAGCAAGGCAGATGAAACTATAACTGAAGTTTACTTAAAACAAGTAATATTGTTATAAAACTTTGCAGCTACATATTTGACTACACTGCACCTTTCTTCTAACTTCATTCTGGTTTATATTTTCTCTTAATTCAAAGTTAATTGCTGTTCTTTAATCCAAAATATCTAAATGAGATATGAGTTTCTTGTGGGGGACTTGTAGATTGATCTTCTGCCTTTTGAGCACGAACATATTAGAATTATCATTTCCATTTTAGCATAGATTAGGTTGCTTATGCCAGAAAAAACATGTTTGAGTTCAAAATATCTTACATATCGCTCCAAAAAAAATAGATAGAAAAATAAATAAAAGGGCTAAAGTAACTTATACGATTCTGAATTGCTCATATATTGTTTCACTTGTGATTACATTTAATGTTTCAATCACTTTTGCAGTTTTGATGACAAAGTTGGTTTAATAAGTGGAGCTAATTATGAGGATATATCTATGATATATCACAATAACCAGACAGGCAGATGGATCTCTTCATTTAGGTATGGCTTTTCCTGGAAATGTTGATTTGACTATCTTTTGCTTCAAAAAAAAATCTGCTTGACTATGGTTAAACTGATTAGGATGGTTTTCAATCTTTTTTTAACACATTTACTTCACAAAAGATAAAACCTATGCTAAGAACCTTTATATTTAAATCACATCCAATATTTCTCTCTCTCTCTCTCTTGTTTCAATGGTTTATTCAAAAGCACTCTTGCCAGCTTGGTTGATTAGAAGGACTAAATACAAAAGAGAAAGCCACTCTATTGTATTTGGGCCAGTAATATCTCCATTTGATCGGACAGGAATTTTTCCACACGACTTTTATAGAGAAAACTTAAACTTTTAGGCCGTTGATCTATATATATTTTATACTAAAGTTATTTTTCCCATTTTAAATGATATTAAATATTTTAAAGAAAGTTGATTTAATGATGACTTGTCATGTACATGAATTCTCTTTTTTCATCCCTTTGTATTAAAAATCATGTTTCCTATCATATTTGATTTTTTAAAGTCATTTCAATATGCCATTGACCTCACATAAGGCAATCGATTGTGGTATGTAAGGGGAAAAAAAAAAAAAAAATAGAAGTATGGCATACCCAAGGAGATATTTAAAAAATGAAACTGCTAGATTTTCAAGTGTGCCAAATATATAATGTTCACAAGCTTAATCAATTTGAGTTATGGGTGCCTCAGGTTTGGCTTACTTAAAATGAGTTTAGATCAAGTTTTGAACTTGGCTTATGAAGTTGAGCTATCACTTAGCCGGTCAAGTCCCTGCTTTTATCTCCTTTACGGACTTGTGAATTTCATATGATGATATTTGATATGTTATATTAACATTGGTGTTGGTGATGAAAGAGAAATATTTTATTTGCTTACTATGGTAATATGCTGCTGAAATGTCTAAATGAAGCTTATATATATTACAGTTGTAATCAATAATCCTTCTTCAAAATTGATTCTGGCCCCACCCCCACCAAAAAAAAAAAAAAAGTCAAAATTCATTAAGCTTATATATACTTTAATACCGAGGCTTATGCCCCACCTTATGAGCGGTAAAATACTTTGCTTCTCGCTTTTCCTTTTAAGAACTATGATTGTGGTTATCTGTCCTCTCCTATTCTGAACTTAAAATGGAAAAATTTGTACTAACAAAATGGTATAATTGTGGTATGAACAACTATGAATCTGTTCCGACCTCCATGCCGTACTTCTTTTAGTTCTGGGCCTTATAGCATGGGGCCTTTATGATGAGCCGCACAGCATTGCTTTAAGATGAGTTGAAGCTTTTGTTCATGCTGAACAGTTATTGAAAATGTTCTGTTCTGAGTTTCTTGTTAGCTCACTTGCCAAGACTACTTGGATTGATAAACTGATGGACATGTATTTTTTTTATCTCATATTGCACATTGCCATTTTGTCAGTAAATTTTTATTCAACCATAAATTGGGTATGCTTATAAGATGAAAACAGATTATTAACAGGTTGATATTTCCTTTTTTTTTTGTCCTCCTTTTCTTTTTCTTTTTCCACATTTGATCTTGAAACAGAGCAATATGGGGTTGGGACGATTCATATATCTACATTGGCAGTATGAAAAGAGGAGTTGATGTAATCTCTGCAGCTCAGAGAAATATTGTCGCCACTTTAGAGAGCCCACACGTGTCTGCGATTCAATGCCGCTTTGATGCTCATCCTTACAAGGTTGGTATGCTTGCAGGTGCCACAAGTGGGGGTCAGGTTTATGTGTGGAGTTCATGCTAAGAAAATAGCGTCTTTCTGCACCAGGTTTATGTTGTATTATCTTTGGTGGGTTTAGTTTCATGTCAATTTTTTTCCTATGACTTAGAAGTTTTGTTATTGCTTGAACCATTATCGGATGCTTAGGTTCTATAGTACACTACCATTTTAGTATTGCAATTTGATCGGACAGATGATACCAATCATCAAACAAATTTTATATTTGATGTAAACAATTTTTATATATGATGTGGAATGGATAAGTTAAATGTAGGATCTTATTAATGAGAAGCACAGGATCTTATTAATAAGAAGCACAAGTGACAAACATCAATAAGGAGGAGCACAGCTGACATAGGTCAATATTCTGAAGTGTTCAAATCAATACCATTTTTTACCAAGGGTCCCAAAGTGGATTGTCCCCTAAGGGGCAAAATGGGTGTGTGAATGGTGCGTGCTCGCCAACGTAAAAGAAAAATCAATACAATTTCTAAGTCAGGTGGAGCTTTTCTAGCATGGTGGTGCACTGATGATTTGGATAAAGCCACCATGTAGTCACATAGATAGCATGAATTAAGAGCTAAGCATAAAAAGCCGTCTCTTTCATCCCTCAACGCTTGTGTTTGATCATATAGTAACACTTACCATTTTGCTGTGTGACACAAAATTCACAGTTGCACGGGTCTCGGGATTATATCAATTGGCCAGCAATTTCAATTCTTTTTTCATTCAAAAATTCATTTCTGACTGCCTCAATTTACACCCCAGGGCCATCACATTCTACATTTAGCCCATGAACTGACTCAGGGTTCATGAAATGAGTCATGATGGCAGTAACCATCTACAGATCTACAATTATAATACAGATATGCTTGCGTTCATATCACAAGCATATGTGTGATTACAAATAATTACATGCACAAATGACTGAGCTAATGATCCTTCACCTTCACGCTAATGGACTATAGGATATCTTGCTTTCACCTAATCTCAGGCAAGTATCCTACATGCTTTAAGTACCACAGTGCCCCTTCAGCTGCATGCTCAGCAGCATCTTTCTTTTTTGCCCGAGGTTCTCCATAACACTCCAAAATCATATTGGAGGCTTCTTCAATTTCCACGACCACCTTGAAAGTGAATCTGCATAAGATTTGAGTTCAACATTCAAAGGATACTCAGAATCATTAGACGAGTACTATTAACTAGTCTGTCATTAACTAGTATGTGGTAGAATTTCAGCATTTGATTGGAGGCAGTATTGGCTAGGAAACTGGAATAATTTTAAGTGGGAAAAAAACTACAACATGAAAATAGTAAACTGAAATATAAATGACTATAGTTTCTTTACCAGAGAGATTGAAAAAAAAATAAAGAAACTAGGAAATTTTTTGGTTTGATTGACAATTTTCACAACACATTATATGGAAAGGGGCAACAAAGTTGCACCAATTTCAGAAACACTCTTTTTAATTCTCTATTTCAGAGAATACAACCAAACAAGTTTCTAATTTGCAACATGTGTCCGAAGTCTTGGAAAAGTTGAGGTGAATTCAGTGCAGCCTCCGCTAATACTTCCCTTTCAGACTCCAAAATGGCATTTATGCATTACCCAAGAATTTGGTGTTAATTGCTTCATATAGATTATATTTCAACCACAAGTTGGTTGGAAATATTGAACTAGAAATATTTTGCACTATATCGCACAAAAGCTTAGTAATAAGTTCTGTTCACTTAATTTTCTTTTCTTTTTCATTAAATTATGGCTGAGCTAGGTATTAATTTTGGAAGTTAACTCAAAAGTCACATTGCAGGTATCCCACCACTTTCAACACAGTGGGGGAAATATTCACCAAGATAATGAACTTACTCTTTCAAGTGGCATGGTCCCATCTCTTTCCAACATTCAAACAAAGGAGGTTTCCAACAATTAGTAGCACAGGTTTCGTACAAACGTGACTTTGCTGATCCCTTATGTGAACCACCTAAAATGATTAGTTATGATAAGCAAAAGATGAGATAGAAACTCCATACCAAGAACATAAAGTTAGCCCAACAAAACCTGTGGTTGGTGAGTCAGAGTTGCAGTTATTATTTTCAATGGGCTGGGTACGCTGCGACACTGGTGCCTTGGATGGAGACAGGGGCTGTCTTACGGAATTGATGCTGTTAGTACGAATTCCTGTAGAAACTTCTTCCATGTGGTCCACTCGGAGGTTATAACGATTTCTAGAAGGTTCCAGCAACTTCATGTTAATGGAATCTGGAGCAATAACATCTGCTGGTGTTTCATCATATCCAATTAGCTTAGCTTCCATCCTGCGGCTTGACTTTAAAACCTCTTCCAATGATATAAACTTTGGTTTGTAACCTTGAGCCTGCACATCCACAGTCGATGAGCATCTAAAATATGGTTGAAAGGCAAGGAAAAGATCATTGGAGGATACGAATCTGACAGGCAAATTTTCTCACCCCTCCCCGGAGGAAAAAAAAAAAAAAAAAAAGGTGTGCAAAAGAGAGGAATGACCAGAATAAAAAGAAAGTTGCAATTGATCATGAAACTATAAGATGAGTTGGATACCAGAGCATATTGCGCTCATAAATTATACAAGAGATTTATCATGCACATTTGCGAAAGCCACCTATCTAGGTCAGATTCCAATGGTAATAGGAAAGCCAATACATCTACCAAACCAAAATGTAGAGAAGTGCTGTTGATGACTAAAAAATAAACATTTCAGTGATTCAACAGTCAAACAATGGCACAAGACATGCAAAATAGGATCTCAGCACAATAGGCACAGTCATGCAAGCATAAAAATTATTTTATATTTTGAAGCCATGGAAGTTCAACTTCCATAGGAAGCTCAGAACTATTCCACACCTAGGATTCTGAGATGGAATATTAAGGCATTACATTGTTTGTTAACTTGGAGACCATAATGATTATTTTTCAATAAGTAACAAGCATAATGTTAAAAAACCAACAGAAGCACACCCATGTGCACATACAGAAGCACCAAGCTATGCTCCTTCCAGAAAGCTCAAGTCACCTATGAATTCTACGAAAGAAGAAACACCCAAAACTGAAAGTTATAAAGCAAGATATTCTTTTAATCTGAACATAAGAGGTTCTATAATTTCTAAAGTATGCCTTTCTGCTCTCCCCAAATGCACCACAGAGAAAAAAAGGAGCTCCATCAAACATCACCATCACCCAACATGCTACTAGGATAAGCACACACTTCAAATTTTCTAAAGTGAAGTTCTGACTGTTTCCAACCAGGCCAGGTGGGAGTCCATTCATATCAAAATGGACTGAGCGATCCTCGAGTGAATTTCATGGAACTTTGAGCAGATGGAGTTAGTTGAGATAATTCAAGTCCTTCAGAGGATCGTGGTTTAGCTGGGATTCCAAGGGTAATTTCATTATTGGTTTAGCAGGGAATCCAACAGACTCCTGTTTCTGGTTATATTTTTAGTAATTTCATCTTTTCTCTTCTAACAATATGTAAATACTGCAAGCAACAACAGGAAATTGAAGAACGTAAACATGCAACTTTTTTACCTTCAACCTCGCAAATATTCGTTGAGCAGCCATTCTTTTGGCAGCTTTTCTGTTGATGTTTGTAGCAGAAGCACTTGCACAAAAATCTTCTTTGTTCACTTTTGATTCAACTAAGTATGTTCCATCCTTCTTTAACGTTGGAAACTGCAGATTTAAATTACAGGATTGACAAAGTTCCTGAAGTTCCCTTATAGGATTAAGCTGCAAGTTGGAAAAGCTCATTACTGGATCCAAAAAGGAGAGCATTATCTTCCAAATGAGATTTAAATCAAATCCCGTGTCAAGAAGAATGGCACCAACACAAGACTCCACCAAGTCACCTAGAGCCTGAACCAAAAAGTGAAATCACATATTTACTCAAAATCAAAAATTTGAAATTAAAATGATGAACCATTCCATGCCATGCAAAGATACACTATAATCAAATTAAATGTTCTTCTTTACTGCCCACACAAAAAAGACTCCTAGTATTAATATCGTCCATAACTGACATTATCTTCTATAACTGTAGACAGAAGGATGAATAAATGATTTTATATCCAAAAACAGTACAGTTTCCAGTGCAAGGATGCTCCTGTCATATGTACCAACTTTTTGAAAGTAACAAAGACACATCACATTAGGGATTTGAAGTTTGAACCCTGCCCCTCTGCTGGGAGATAACATTCAAGCTAAAGCTTTGTGTTGACTGGTTATTAATTTGTTTGCTATGAGAAGACTATAAGTTAAAAGATTGCAAGTCATAGTTAGTACCTTTGGACACTTTGGTCCTTCAGCCAGACCCTTCTCTGATGCATCGGGTTTAATGAAGTTGGCATACTCATCCATAGACTCACAGAGGCCACTAGAATTGCAGATAATAAATTTGTGGAAGGACCGACGTACTGCAATGTCGGCAAAGGAGTTATTGTTTACAGATACAGATCTCAAATCTGTTATCTGACCAGGCTTCAGTTTTGGATACACAGAAAGCAGATAGGATGTTATTAAATAATCCAACACAGCATCTCCAAGAAACTCCAGTCTCTGTTAATGCCATAAAATTCATCAGAAAATGTTGTATTAGAAAGGCAGATTCAAGGAAAAAGTTTGATTTATGCGGAGTGAAAATAGAGTACATACCTGATAGCATCCCCAATGATTGTTGTAAGAAGGATGAACAAACGCTTGTACAAGCAAACCTTTATGGAGAAAACGATACCCTAACAAAATTTCCAGGGAAGCAATATCTATTTGAGAAGTAAGTGACACAAACATTGCACTTTCAGAACAGATATTGTTAATTTGTGATGCCTCAAAATCCACTCGTATGCCAATCCATTTAAGAAATGATGTTGCTGCTTTGAAGCCACTGTCAACAATAAATGCTCCAACAAGAGCCTCAACCACATCTGCTATGGTTTTTTTATACAACCAGTGGTGACTTTTGTTGCATCTAACGTCAGAACTTGCACCATTTGTCACATTGCTTCCATGTGGAGAATGTATAATAGTTTCTGTTTCCTTTCTACATATTACTGGGCAAGGACGACCCAAGGCAAAGAAATGGCAGGGATCAAATGGTTGATCACGTATGTATACCTGAAATAAGGACACAAACACCATGCATTTTAATAATCAAATTTGAAAACAATGCAAGAGCTTCTGCGGAAAAAAGGAGTCTCCTATTTCCTCCATTTTCATGGCAGACAGCTTGTATCTATGCAGTAGTACTGCTGGATCTATGACTACATCCACAGTTCTATCACATTTTTATATGTTTAAAGGCGATTTGCTAGATGCCTTACATTCATGTCACAAAAAAGACGTTCATTTTTGCTCTTGATCATTAACAAAATCATTAAAATTTTCTTTTAGAATAATACTTGAAACCTCTTGGTTAAGTATCTTCAAATTCAATTGAAATTCTTGCCATCATGGCACACAAGAAAGTCTGAAAAAGTTCAGGTAATTGGAATAAAATGAGATCCATGCATCATTTTTTAATCAGATCAAAAGGAAATTGAACCAGCTGAAGAACTATGGTATTTTATATCTAAATTAGCTTTAGTTTGGTTGCTAAGGATCATATAATAATAGTAGTAGTGGTAGTAGTAGTAGCAACAACAGTATCACCACCAGTTACCTGTAACTTGCTCATTGTAGCCAGCTTGAATAAATTGGAATTATTTACAATGTTAGAACGTTTTCTCGTAAGTTGTCCTTCATCAAGGGTATTGTGTAAAAGAAAAAGGCGCCGGCCAACTGCAAACTTGAGGAAAGCATCACCTAGCACTTCAAGCCTTTCAAGAGAAAAGCACTCATTGCATTTCTCCGTTGTAAGTGCTTCGAGAACCTAATACAGGATTTCACAGCTGTTATGAGCATACCAAGTTCTTTTTTAAAAATCTATAATAACAAAAAAAATTCACAGAACTTGAGTAGCGGATCAAATGACTTAGTTTGAGAGTTGAGAAACAGTTAATGGAAAGATCACTTTAACATGGAAGAGTAAAAAAACAATACACGATAGGAAGTAACTTCAGCTCCCTCAGGAAACGAAGCACAGAATCTCTGCTTCAATTCTATTGCCACAAGCAAGCTTTCTAGGCGATGCATAAGTGACGGTAATAAAGACAGTGAACTTCCGATGTCTTTAGAAAAGCCAACTATCTTCAACTGACAAATCTCAGGGGGTAATTCGATAAAGTGCTCCTCTTTTTCACGCGATTCTGCCATTAAACAGTTATAAGCACACAAGTCAATATTTAAAAGAGATTCTCCGAAAACATTCAATTTGAAAAGCAACCTCCATTTCAGCCGTTGGGGTGATAATTAAGACAAATAGGACTATGAAAACATTCAATTTATATGCGCATTGGTATTCCTTGTGAAGCACTGTATCAAAATACTAAAAAACTAGCAGTTCAGTGACAACCTGAAGATACAAACAAACTAATTGTTACCTGATTTCCCCTTCTTCCGTAGTAAATTATCCAAACAAAAAAGTTGTTTTGCTTTCAGAAGAGGCTGATTAGGGTATAAAAGATGAATCCCAAAGCTGATTTACAAAATTAGAAAGAAAAAAATAAATAAGTGACCATTAAAAACAACATAACAGTAACATTGAATAAGTTCAAGAATATCCAAATTAGTATTGATGACAATATAAAAGTCAACACATTGTGGTTAGTGATTTGCAATTACAATTACCAATTATTGGGGCAGACAAATTGCATTAGTAACTCTTGTTCTAGAAAATATAATCACAATTTTAACATCACAAGTTTGCAATGGTACTCAAGTAATTATATAAGAGGAAAACATGGCAGAAAGGGCGTAAGTTCTGTTTAAATATCTGATGATAAAGTGAAATAAAGATAACGACACAAGGGATGTATCATGCTGAAAGACGATGACGGCAGAATCTGATTTGTACTTGTTCAAGTTTGGCAAAGTAAAAATAAATAGAAAAATAACTCAAAACCAACCAACTGCCAACATAAAGGCATGATGCATTGCAGACCAAAATAGGACGCCAAATAGACAGAAGAAACTATGAGTTGCAAACCAAATGGCACCAATCTAGGCCCTAGGGTTGAGCAGGAGAGGTACCAGCTGCCTTTCTGTACAGTTTAATAATGCAAGGAAAATCGCAGGGGAAGGAAAGGTAATCAGATAAATAACTAACTGCCACTCAGACTTAGTAAACAACATGTTACCACTTTAAGGCTGAAAAGGGATGGCATGCTGTTTGAGCCTTTATAAGTTCTGGTTTGAATCTACCAGTAGAATGCTTGACCAATAGGCCTGTGGCCTAGCGGTACAAGGCTCCTACTTCCCAAAGGGAAGTCAGGGGTTCGAACCTCAATGGAGGCAGTGTGTGTGAGTCCCAACTAGGAAAAAAAAAAAACCAGTAGAATGCTTGCAATGATTCCTCAAAGAGTATGTAAGCATCGTTCTCTTGGAAATGCAAATTCCCGACTGTCATTGATACACTTCCTCTGTCAATAAACATATCGGAAGAGAAGACCATGCTATTGGCATTCTAATTAAAATACCATGAACAAGAATACTCAATTCAACTCAACAAAGCCTTTTCCCAACTACTTGGGGTTGGCTACATGAATCCTATTTCTCCATTCTACTCTATGTAAAGCCATAGACCTCAGTAAAACCAAATGTTATCATACCCTTCCTTACTAAATCTACCCACATAAGTTTGGTCTTCCTCTTCCCCCAGTATTACCCTTAATATGAACCATGTCACTCTTCCTAACAAGTGCACTTAGTGGTCTTCTTTGTACATTTCCAAAACCATCTTAATCGAGTTTCTCTCATTTTTATCTCCAATCCAATCGGTACTACTTCAACCATTTCTCAAATTTGCTCATTTCTAATTTTGCCCTTTCCTATCTTACCGCTCATCCATATCAAACTTTGGATTTCTATCACATCCATTTTATGCATATGATATTTTTATATAAACCCAACATTCTGTCCCATAAAGAACAGCCGGTCTAATAGCTATTTTATAGAGTTACCCTTTAAATCTTAGTAGGATACACCGATCACTAAGTATTATAGTTGTTAAAAGCTCAAGGCACAATATAAGGTGTGAGCCTGATCGAGTAAGGCACGTGCGTGATAATAATACAATAAGAATGTCGAGCCAGAGGGGAAAAAAGCAAGAAGCAGTACTAATATTTAATAATTAAACTATGCAACAAAAACTTGTCAAAGACCAAAATAATAAAAAATTCTCAACATATCAATTCAATGTATTAGCTAAATCAACATACATGTATCTTTTCTATTTGCATATGAATCCAATAAAATCAATATACAATTGGAACAATTCAAGAAATACAACACAAATAATAAAATTTCTATAGAGATGTATCAACTAGGTGGATTAGGTAAATTAATGCACATAAATCCCATATGCATATGCATTAACCAAATTTAATTTGAATACAAATCTGAAACAATTAAAAACTATAATCATGCAAACTTTAAACATATACTATAATAACTGCTTAGAATCTAGCACTAAATGCAATTATTGCAAGTAGTGAAACTTAACATTTATAAATTTTGTCTAATATTTCATCAGGTTGAACAATATGATCCATCATATATGATCATAGAACATTTTAATTTAATAGTCATTAAATAAAAAGAAAATAATTTGTATAAATATTTAAAAAATAAAAAGGCGCGCCTGGCGCCTATTTAAAACTATGCTTAGTATACCAGATGCACTCCTCCATTTAACCCATTCTACCTTGATTCTATAATTAACATCATCAACAATTTCTCCTTCCTTCTGAATAATTGAGTCTAAATAACAAAAAGGGGTCACCTTTTCTACTTCTTGATCCTCAATCTTCACTATATCCCTATTTGTATATCTAGATTTAATAAAGTTACAACTAATATATTTAGTTTAACCCTTTTAACTCTAGATCTTCCCCCAACCTTCAATTTAGCATTTATTCCTTCAAATCACAATTAACAAAAAAGGTAAAAAATGATGACTTTGAAACTGTAGTGTTAATATGACCAGTGATATGCAGGTCTGACCTTCCCGGGGCGAATTCAGGTCTGCCTTTTAATATGAAGATAAGTTAGATATATCACTTCATTGATACGTCTAAAAAAATAAAATATCAAGAACATGGACAAAAACTTGTTTGAGTAACCATGTAGCTAACTTTCTTAAATGCCAAAGCATAAATAATCTAGAAAAATATGAGAAAAGATAGCTCATGTGGGACCCACGTGAGGCCCATAGGATCCAACGGCTGAGATGCTGCTAGCACTCTTCTAAGAAGATTTTAAATAAAAATAAACTTTAGTAAATAAGTATATTCAATGATATCGATAAAATCGCAAGTTAAATCCATACCAATATCCAAAGGAATGATATAAGACTACAACAACAACAACAACAACAACAACAAAAAGGGAGAAGAGAAGAGAAGATGCCAACATGAGATTTAATGTGAGTTCCGAGGTCCCAGGCCAAAGAAGGCAGCTCAGCATGATCCCGTTAAAACTATGTTGCTGATAGGGGTGGACTACTGTGACTTGAGTCTGCTAGGGTATGAAATAAAAATATATATATAACTAGAAGGTTTTAGAATTGAGTCTGCTGGGGTATGAAATAAAACAAAAATATAACTAGAAGGTTTTAGGATTTTTTTTTTCAGTTAAAAATGATTATATCAGTGGGAAAAGCTCCATGTCATATGGATCACTTGCTAAAAATGAAGTTAGAAGTTAGATCCTCAAGTATTTTAACATCCGAGTGCATACACTTCTACAATCAGCAGAACTGTATTTAATATATAATGAAATTACATCTACATATGTGTGAATATTTATTCTTTATGCAGGGGAAAACCTCTTCCCCTCTGTCAATAATATGCTCCTCACATGTCACTGGAAATTGCAACTATATATACGAAAAAGTTCAAGGGGTAATTACTAATGACGCAAGTGCACTACATACAGTTTTCAAGGAGAAAGCCAGCATTACCTATACACACAGAGAAACATGCTAACATTTGACAGAGATAAAATAATTAAAACAAGAGATGAAGTTACCTACATTTTAGTATAGTGCTCTATATGATTTGTTGACTCTTTACATGTGCTGTACCCATTCTTCTCCGGAAGAACATCAGAAATAAAGAAAAAAGCATCCTTGCATCGAGCATATACTAAACTATTTACAACATCATCTATGCTTTTGGGACCATTAGCAAGTTGCAAATGATTATTCAAATGCAGACTGACTTCTCCAGCTTCCTCTGGATTCCTGAAAATTGGCGATGATAAGCATCTTCTGACAAGCTTCCAGTCTACAGATATTGTGTTTTCATGTTCATGCAGAATGACAGGAAGCAAAAGGTAGTAGGTTGATGAACTTGAGTTACACAAATTAATCTTCTCCAAAGAAACAAATTCAGGAATGAGATCAGCTCTATCAAGGATGACCTTGAGCCACACATGTTGAAAATTTTGTGCCTGTAGAATCTATGTAAATACAAACAATGAATATCTACAAGTCAAGTAGCTTATTTGATTTTTATTTCAAATATAATCGTTTACCTCATCTTTGTCAAAATTTGCAACTCCTGATGGGACAAGCTTAGTCAAAACTTTTCTACCACGAGCCAAACGAAGATCAAGTTTCATCTGCTCAGCATCTGCTGGGAGAGGTGCTTTCACAAAAAGACCAAACTTCTTATAAAGCCTATCCTCTGGACGAGGAATAAACTTTATAAAATAAGAGTAAAGACAAACAGGATTCCCCAAGTAAGTCCATGATTCTTTAAGTGCAGCAGGAACAAGCATCTCATGTAGTTCTCTTCTTGAATCCTCCTCATCTACCAATAAACAGAATCAAATAGAATCACAACTCAAACTAAAGAAACAAAGGCAACGGAGTTCCAATATCTTCTATTGCTATTCCCTTACCATCACAGCTGTCTGAATCAGAAGAGTCTTGTACCGATCCCTCATTTCCATCATCGTGATCTGGCAAGAGGTAGTCGGTCAAGGCACCTAGTTCATGTAGTTCTTTGCAGGCTTTCAAGCAGGCATCTTTCTTAGCTGCTTCTATTGAAGATTGTGGTGAACTCACAATTTGATGAGCTGGAGCATTGGAAGGGAGAAATATGTTGCAGATTGTTCCTTCTACATCATCATAGTAATAAAACTCTGGTTTGGGTTTGAAGTATCTGAGAAAGAGATGACACATCCCATTAGACGTCAGGAAGCACACAAAATTTTCTGTATATCATCTTTCAAAGAATTCTTACAAGTAAAAGCTAATCAAAGGTAGCAATCAGTACATAAGATAAGACCATACTCATCATGCGGAAGTTTTGAACAATAATGGTGGAGTAATGAAATACTAGATCCTGAACTGATGATGGCACCAGTTGAATCTACTTTATAGGTCCTTTCTTCAAAATCAACAAATGTTGTGCTAGACTCTCTAGATGCAATTTCCTTGTTCATTTGATTTTCCTCCTTTTTAAACTTGTTTATCAGATTCAGCTCCTTCTGGTTGCCACTGCAATGTTTTGAAAGACCGAAAAAGATTATCCCTGTTGAAGAAACACACCATATTATTGGATTCACATACAGCTTATGATTTAGAAAAGCACCTGTCCACCAAAAATGCATACTCAGATTGAGGCATGCGTGCACGGCCCCTAGACTGTATAAAACTAGAGACAGTTTCTGGAAGATCAAACCGTATTACAAGGCAGCATGTTTGAATATCGAGTCCTTCCTCGCCCACTTTAGTTGCAACTAATAAATTCAGCTGCCAGATCAAACAACTACAGAAATAAGTTTGCAGTTATATAACCTGTAAAGAGCTAATTATAACACATCATTAACATCACAGAGCCTCTTGTAAACCACTTATGCCAGTCACATGGAAGTTGAGCACTATCCTATAAGTGAAATGGAAATGTTATCGGAACATATGTTCATTAGCATATTTACCTGTTGATGGTTGATCTCAAATATCTAAACTCAATTTTGGGCCTGAAACAGCCATTTCCATGATCATTTTCTTTCTGACAACAGGGTCTTTTTTTTTACACTCAGCTTTGTACATAAATATGCATGCAATTCCCAACTAGAAAGCCAATTCAGGATAGTGGGCATTTATCCAAATATAATGTAAAAATATACACTGATAAGCCACAATTATTTTTACAGTTTGGTGTTCTGGTGATTCTGTATATGCTACTATATCTACGGTGGCTTAAATGATGAGAAGTAGTGATTTGCCATTAAATAGATAGCCAGATGCACAACTCTACTTACCAACTCAACAAAGCCTCGTCCAACAGCCAACTACTTGAGAAGGGCGACACAAATCATGTTTCCCCATTTCCAATGTCTAAGGTGATTACTTCAATATCTCAACACAAATTTAATATTGGTCTTCCATTTCCCTACCATTACTCTCAATTGGAACCATATTACCCTTCTGGCATAGTTATTAGCTTTCAGTGAACATGATCAAACCATCATCATTTTCACCGTTTCAAAGACTGAATTTAATTTTTATACATTCTAATCATGCCAAAAAAATGATCTCAAATCTGCATTCTGATATTGCTCATTTCTGAACATATCATTTTCCGGAGCCATCTAGTATTTTATCAATAAAGTATGCATGACTTAATAGATTTTTTATATAATAAACTTTCAATTTAGTAAAATTTGTCAACCATACAATATGCCAGAACTAATCCTCCACTTAACCCATCATACTTCAATTCTACGCACAACATAAATCTCCAATTTCTCCTCGTATATAATTGAGCCAAAGAAATGCAACTGTTTACCTCTTTGGTATCTCTTTCCCTTCACATTTTATTCACCTACCATAAACCTTCTTGATCCTACAATTTCTTTTCAAAACTCTAATTTAGCATCTATCCCTATTTTAATTTGATCAACTAATGCAATATAGGTAGAAATAGTATATACTATAAAATCTTATACTAAATGCATATAGTGAGTTCATTGAAAATTGAGACAAAAAGATATGGGTTTAATGTTAAGCCATAATTTGAGTCTATAGTAAATAAAATTCACTTGTTTCTCCTACAATTTTCTCACCTATAGTCACAACTCCATCATACATTTCCTTTATCATGTCAATAAATCTTATTCGTTAACTCCTTTTTGTTTTTATTATTTTACTAAATTCCACCATACTAAAAACCTAAGAACCCTATCATAGGCTTTTTCCAAATATATGACATTAATATCTTTCTTCTTCTCATTACATCTTTCCTGCAATCTTTTCGTTGAGAAAATAACTTCCATTTTTTTACCTCCTTGGCATAAATTTAGATTGATTTTCTTACACTACTGTGTGAAAGTCTCAATCACTGTTAATCACTCTCTAACCAAAGTTTCATATGTGATCATCTGTAATATCTTTCTTCTTCTCATTACATCTTTCCTGCAATCTTTTCGTTAAGAAAATAATTTCCATTTTTTTACCTCCTTGGCATAAATTTAGATTGATTTTCCTACACTACTGTGTGAAGTCTCAATCACTGTTAATCACTCTCTAACCAAAGTTTCATATGTGATCATCTGTACAACTTTGAATATCTTCATTCAGGAAAAAAAAAAACTTTGAATATCTTCTTATTTTCTTTTACAAGTACTAAACCACTTTTTCAGAATCCATCAGTCATTTGCTAGCTATTATTATTTTCTTAGAATTTTGTTAGCCTTGACACACCATCTTTGCATAAGTACTTTGAATCTTATCTGGTCCTAAAAGCCTTCTTATTTCAGCTTTTCGATGCTTTTTTACATTGCACACATTGATCTTACACATCATTTTCTTAATTTCTCTAAGGTTTCAAATTTCTTTTTTTTTTTTAAACCTATACTTCCTAAAAGATTTCCATTCAGCAATTTCACATAAAATTTTCAGCTTTCTCTAATTTCATAAATTTTCACCAAGACCTTAGAAGCTCACCTTTTGTGCCCTTAATATGATTGAAGTTTCTATTTTATTATTTACCAAAAAAAAAAAGGGGATGAAAAAAGAAAAAAAGAAAGTTTCTATTGTATCTCACTTAGCAATTTGTATATATTCTTCTATTCATTGTCCTTTTCATCTAATGTAGAATAAAGATCGCCACATATTTTATACTTAGATGCTGTTTTCATAAATCGAAAATAAATTAAGAGCTGAATTCTAAGTGCCGAAGTTTTTAAGTGCCGAATTCGCAAAAATGACAATCTGTTTCATATTGTCTAAATTTCGAGTGCTGAATTTGTTAAATGTTTGGTTAAAGCAAAATAATGAAGTCTGAAAACTATTCAATTTAAAGTACTGCTACTACTATCTAACCCAAAAGCTTAAGTTGTGGGGTGAAACTGTCTACCCGCTCTTATAAGCCAAAGACCCTCCCCATCTGTATCCGATGTGGGACAAGACCCTATCATTCTCCTCCACCCAAACCTGCAGTGCCCTCACTGCAGTCAGACCACCCAGCCTATCTGTAGACCCTAACAGTAGGAGAACCCGGTAAAATCCCAGACCCAAACACCTCCGAGTGGGCGCTTGGCGTGACACCGAATGAGGGACTGGGTCGGATCTTATACCAACCATAACAGGTCAAGCGCTTCCCATTCGACCCAAAAGCATAAGCAATTGGGTGGTACTACCTACCCGCTCTTATAAGCCCAAGGCCCTCCCCACCCATATGCAATATGGGACAAGACCTTTATGACAACTACCTTAAAGTACCTAAAGTAACATTGGTAAACATTGACTGTTAACAAAAAAAAAAAATGAAAACATGGCCCAACAATTAAGATAGAAAATTTCACCTAATTCTTTGCAGTCATGCTTATATATCTATGTTATTTGTTGCACATTCAGCAGTTTTTGCTCCTCGTTGCCATTAAAAGCAACAAAAAAAGCCTGTAAATAATAGAACTTAAGAAATTACGATTCTAATACCAAAGCTGAATCTTTTTGGGCAAAAATTTATCCATACTGCTGATGGTCATTAAACTATTTGATTGTATCATTATGGATCCCCTTCAAAAATCATGACCTAGTCCTCTCTGTGCTTCATATCGAAGTCCTTTGTGTGCATCGTATCCAGTTTCTCTCCATGAAGCATAACCATGCCCTCTCTGCTAAGAAAATGAAATTGGCCAACTTTGGCACAAAGCCCCATTCAAGTAATTGACTGGAACTCAAACTCTGGGAGTATTTTGTATTTTATTTTCTTCTATTTAACAAAAGAAAGAAGAAGAAAAGAAAACCCTAGATATGAAGTTGAAATTCACTTTCAACATTGCAAACTGACAAACAATTTTCAGCTCATTATGTTTTAAACATTCAATCTCTCCAGCCATCTCTATCCCAAGCCCAAACAAGCAACTACCAGCCTTAACCGTAAATGATCCACCACTTTCTAATGAGAGATTTAATTTTACCAAAAGCAAACCACAATTGCCACCATCCTCCACTGGCTCTGCAACACAACTTCCACCATGTTACTTAACTCATTATAGCGGAAACACCCAATGCATAGAATTTATACAACCCATAGTGACATTCAAAAAAGAGCAATTACTCATAGTTTTATGGGGAATTTCTACTGATGGTATGGCAATTCCATGGGCGTTTCAGATTCAAAAAAATGCAAGATACTTTAGTTTGAAAAAGAAAAATGACAAGAAAAAAAAGATAAAAAAAAGAAGAAGAAGATGATCACATCTATACACGCCAAAATTTACTGATAGTTTTATAGGGAATTTCTATTGATGGTATGGCAATTCCATGGCCGTTTCAGATTCAAAAAAGAGCAAGATACTTTTCAATCTTGAAAAAATCATTCAACTTTTAACTTCATATAAAAAGTACCATATAGAAAGGGAAGTAGAGGCAGTAATTTTTCCAGTGTGACTTCACTACACTTACCAATAAGTCAAGATCCCTTCATGAGCAGTATATTAAAAGATCTATTGGGGGAGGAGGGGAGATGAAGAAGAATAAGAACTAAAAAGACATCAAGATATGCCATAGCAGAAAAAGATCATTTTGCAACACCTTATAATGTATAAAGCATTACCTCGCCCGACCGGAACTTCTCAAGAATAATATTCATGTTTTTCCGTGACATACTCTTTAGTCCAGAGTGGACTCCTACAAGGAAATCACACTTCCAAGTTGATAGAAACTTAAGGTTCTGAAGTATGTACGACAAGGATCTCGCAATTACAATCCTATTTACAAAAATTATACATTTCATATTTGGTTGTAACCTGAAATAGAACAAAAGAGAGTTTTTAGCAAGCAAATTCAACAAATAAAGTCTAACAGTGATGATGTATGAAGTTATTAGAAGAATAACCCACATAATATTAAATACATAAAAAATATGCTGAAACTTCTTTAGCTTTTAGAAGTCAATTTCATAGGGCCGCAAAATTTAGATGACCTCAAAGATCTAGTATTCAAGGATAAGGATAACAACAATAAAAAGTACAGAAAACAAAGGTAGCCTATTACGAGCATTGTATTTAGCATTCCTGCAATGCTAATGCTTAAGTCTGCTTCAACAATCAAACATTGCTTACAAACTTGAGGCTTCCCATATAGTTTCGCAGTTGAGCTTGATAACCCAAGGGCTAGTTAACCCAAATCAAATCTTGGAGAGCTCAACATTTGGCTGGCCCTAAGCTTTCTTCTGAGCCTAAACCTAAATTTGGCGGAGCTTGGGCCCAAGGAACCTGACTGGAAATCAATTCCTTACTAGCTCATACTACAATATACACTATGTAATTTTTTTTCGGTTATAGTTGAATGTAAAAGGCTATTGTAAGCCACAAATTCTCATTAGACATACTCTTAATTTATATTAGACACTGAATATAACATAAGTGGAAAGTAAATCAAATCACTGATCCTATGCCTCTAATAGGTAGATGATGAAAATAATATCATATAAAATCAAATTAAGATTAGATCAAATCCAATCCCTAAAGATACTCCCAATTTAGATCAAATCCCTATATTTTCTCCCAATACACCCCCTCAAGCTGGAGGGAAGATATCAACTAAGCCCGGCTTGCCAACACCAGAGTGAAGAGTAGATTGTCCTACCGACTTTTTGAACATATCGGCAAGCTGATTAGTAGAAGAAACAAAGGAAGTATGGATAACTCCATAGTGCACTTTCTCCTAGAGAAAGTGAATATCAACCTCAATATGCTTTCTCCTCTCATGAAGAATTGATTTAGATACGAGCATAATAGGAGACCGGTTATCACACTTATCAAAAAAAAAAAATAGTAGACCGGTTATCACAGAAGAGTGTTGATGAACTAAATATAGGGAATCCTAACTCAGTCAATAGGGAATGAAGCCAGAGGATCTCATAAGTGCCTTGATCTATGGCACAGTACTCTGCCTCTACAGAAGAACAAGACACAATGCTTTGTTTTTTACTTTTCCAGTAAATTAAATTGCCCGGTGGAAAGTATTAAAACCTGAAGTAGAGCGACGGTTCAGTCAGAGATCCAGCATAATCAGCATCGGTGTAGCACGAGATAAGAGGCTGTGGTGTGGACCTGTAGAATAAACCAAGTCCAGGGCAGGACTTGAGGTATCCTTTTCCAGGAAATTAAATTGCCCCCATGAAAAATACAGAAACCTGAAGTAGAGTGACGGTTAATCAGAGATCCAACATAATCCGCATCGGTGTAGCACGAGATAAGAGGTTGTGGTGTGGATCTGTAGAATAAACCAAGTCCTGGGCAGGACTAGTATCGAAGAATTTGATATACTGCATCTAAGTGTGAGGTCCGAGGAGCATGCAGGAACTGACTCACAACATTAACCGCAAATGTAAGATCAAGTCTAGTGTTCGTTAGATAAATTAAGTGACCAACAAGGTGCTGATAAGCAGACAGATCCGGAAGAAGGTCTCCAGACTCGATATGAAGCCGATGCGTCGAATCCATACGAGAGGAAGAAGGATGACACCCAAGCATACCAGTGTCCTGTAAGAGGTCTAGTGCATACTTCTGCTCAGAGAGTGAAATGCCATGCCTAGAGCGGGCAACCTCAATACCAAGAAAAAATCGAATAGTACCCAAGTCTTTAACCTCAAAAGTCTGCCCAAGGTTTATTTTTACCTTGTCAATGAAGGGTGCATCATTTCCTGTAACAATTATGTCATCAACAAATACTAAGATAATGGCATAACGATTTTCTGGACTATGACGGAAGAAGCAAGTTGGATTTGAGTGACATCAAGTGAACCCCATAGAAATAACTACATCACTAAATCGGTGAAACCATACCCGAGGTGACTGCTTCAGTCCATATAAGGATTTTAGAAGGTAACACACTTTCCCAAAATACTCCCCCTCAAGCAGAAAACCAGGAGGAGGATCCATATAAATTTCTTCTGTAAAATCCTCGTGAAGAAAGGCATTCTTCACATCTAGCTGGTGAAGAGGCCAAGAGTAGCAAGCTGCTAAGAAAATAAGAAGGCGGACAATAGTCAGCTTGGCGACCGGAGCAAAAGTGGCATTAAAGTCCTTCCCTGAAGTTTGTGTAAAGCCCTTCGAAACCAGTCTAGCTTTGTAGCGATCAACAATACCATCTAATTTATATTTAACTGTAAATACCCATTTACTGCCCACAGTCCTCTCTCCTTGTGGTAAAGTAACAAGCTCCCACATCTTATTTTTCTGCAAGGCATCCATTTCAGCAGCCATAGTTGTTGTCCAATGTTGGTCTTGCAAAGCCTCAGATACAGTTCGAGGGATGGAAATAGCCGAGGTGGCAGCAAGGTAGACCCGGTAATTGTGAGAAAGCCCCTGATAAGAAACAAACTGGGTAATAGGATGATTAGTCACTGATGAAGAACGGGGCCTGTCCCGAGAGCTTGAAGTCCATATGGCCCACACCTATTATTGGAGATGTGGGAAAGAAAGATAGAATTAGGGCTTTTGACTTTTGTTATTATGATTTGATTTTAGGATTGTTATTTATGGTAATAGGTTGATTATGGTTTTTCTTTGATGCCTATTTATATGATGGTTTAGACATTGTGAAAGTCAGCTTTGATGATTGATTATTGATTATTATGTAGAAATTCTCTCTGTCAAATATTCTGCGGCTGCCTCATATATTAACATTAACATCTTGTACAAGTATATATAGGAAAGAGGTAAAGTTATACAAGGAAAAGAATAAAAAATATTCCTGCAAATCTGATCCTAATATAAAGCAATCCATCTATCCTATTTTACTGCAATCAATCTGTCTTAGAATCTTGTTCTAATTTACAATAGTCAAAAATCAATCAAATCCCTAAAATCAAGGGAAATCATAGTTGTTAAAGGCTCAAGGCGCACAAAAGCGCAAATGCCTCCTGGAGCCTGAGGCGCAAGGCGAGGCGCAAGCCCGACTGAAGCAAGGCGCACGTTGAAAAAAAAAAAAAAAAAATACCCACCCAATAAAGTATTTTTGGGTAAGTGATTTAACAACTAAACATTCTTTCAATAATAGAACCTAATTATATGAAAATAATATAACAGTACATGAGTAATTATTTCATTTTAACAGTACATGAACTATTTACAATTTGAGATTGTCTTCTTTAATTTAGAGTACACTTAACTAATTATTTCATTTTAACAAAATTAGATAAAAATGCATTCCCTCAAACCAATAACAGGTTAGAATGGAACAAATACAGGCTACAGCTGTTCACACAAATAAAACAGGATCACACAAATAAATAAAATAGGATCACACAAATAAATAAAACAGCATCACTGATCACACAAATAAATAAAACAGGATCACACAAATAAATAAAAAAATAGTGAGAGCAATACATTGTACTAATCTAATCCAAGCAGGTAAATATAAAGTACCTCACACAAATAAATAAATAAAATAAAAAGAAGAAGAAAAAGAATAATAAAACTCGAGAAAAATAAAATAAAATAAAATAATAAAAAGAAGACGAAAAATAAAAATAAATTTGCCAAACTCCACTCTCGAGAGAGCCGAGACTCAAGAGAAGAAGAAGAAAAGAAGAAAAAAAAAATTTGAGACCGATCTGGCAGATCCGAGAAGAGGAGGAGGGAAGAAGAAGAGAAGAAGGAGAGAAGAAGAAGAGAGAGAAGGAGAACTTACCTGCTGGCCGACGCAGATCCGAGAGTCCGAGTGCCTTCGCTGCCTCTGTCAAGTCTGTCTTCTTTCCTTTGCTTTTTGCTTCTCTTTTTTTTTTTTTTTTGTTTTTTATGTTGTAACTTGTAGGCTTTCTATTATATTAACTAATAAAATAATAGAATAGAAATAATAATAATATTATATACACAAACAATAAACAAACAAAACCCAAAATAACAAAAAGAAGTAAAAAAACAACATTTTCAAGCAGGTGCGCCTTTAGCGTGCCTGTAGCCTGGCGCCTTGGTGGAAAAGGCGCATGCCTTACTTAAGACAGTCGCCTTAAGTGTACTCAAGGCGACAACATGGCTCCTGGAGGCGCATTGCGCCTCAGGCGCGCACCTCGCGCCTCAGGCGCGCGCCTCCGGCGCCTTTAACAACTATGAGGGAAATAATATATATCTTCCAACATATTATTCAGAAATTATTGTGTTTCTTCTCCCTCAATTATGTTTTCTCCCTTTGTGATTCTTCTCTTCTCTCTCATTCTGATTTCTTCCCCTATTATTCTTATTTTATTTCTCTCTCAATCTCTTTCTTAACCTATTTATTATTTACTTGAATTATGTTTTCGAACCGCCCTACCCGTTGCTGTATCAATTGGTATCAGAGAAAAGATCAATAGATTTCTCTACTATTCACAACAATCAAACCCACACTCTACTGTTCACAGCTATCAAACCCGTACTGTTTATCATCAATCAACCCAAACAAAACCCTAGCTGTCACCGCCGTCTGCAATCCAAATAAACCCTAAAACCCAAAGCCACCACTACCGCTGCCATCATCCATCACAACCGTCATAGTATTTACCCACTGTTCCCTGTAATCTCAACCAAAACCCTGATTACTACCACCAAATAACAACCACCATCACCTATTCAAATCATAGTTGTCAGCCACCACCCTCCAAACCCTAGCTGCACCACCTTCTACAACAAGACCTGAGCCAATTGAATCCCCAACAGTAATTGGATCCAACTCAGCCACTGTAACCAAGCCAACAATCATAAGACCCAAACCTTGGCAGCAAGACCCAATTGCAAAACCCATACCCATCGACTCGACA